AATATCATCGCATTTATACTAATAACATCTTTCGTCCTATTTTCTGGCAGTCCCAAATTGCTATAATTTTTCCAAAGTAAAAATATGTCATTTACTAAGACTACATCGTTTTCCCTTGTATTTTTTTCGTCCTGTCTTTGTATGTTCTCTTGGCACGCTAAAATATTCCATTGCCCCCTGAATGTTACCCTATTTGTACGAGTGAAAATTTTGACCTGAACTTGAACTTGCTCTTTGGTGATAAGATCACGCCATATCCCCCATGAATAGAACAATATATTATCAAAACAACACTTCACAACAAAAAGAATAAGGGGGGATAATATCGGTCAATCACCTTGATGTTTCATTCTCTGCATACTGTCTAACATGAGCGTTTGTGGGATTTGAGTGTAAAAACCATGAGTGATCAGTGAGTGATCCATGAGTTCTAGTGATCTGTCTAGTGACCATCAATCTATCGACTTCCAAACTCAAAGGTATCCCAAAATATAAAATATTAAAAGTACTCCTTTGTTTTCGAGACATTTCTTGACAGCTTTGTGTTTTTAAAGTTTTTTATTCATTTGAAAGATATCGTTCTTTTGTCTCCTAGATATGATGCGTCCCTCATTAGTAATGGATTTACTATCAAAATATCATTTTAAGCAAAGTAAGGTTTGGTTTAAGTGTAAAAATGCATTGAAAACATGCATATAGTTATGATATCACAACATTGAATATCGCATGAAAACATTCTGTGTGTCTGAATACTTAATTTACAAACTCACTCCAAAGAGTATTATATTTAAAGGGAAAACTACTCTTCATATATAATTTAAAATTCCACAATAAACACATTGTTCACAATACATAGAAATATAATATATTCCATTTGCCCACCAAAATCGGACAATGTGGTCCCTTATAGATGACTTCGCTCCGTACATAAAAAAGAAACATTTGAAAAAAGCATCGTCCAACTTAGAATGTTGAAACGGATTCATCAAACATTGGTAAGTATGGGAAAATCACCATCGATTACCCAAAGAAAATCCGTTTAATGGCACTTTTCTCGCCAAAATTAAGAGTTGTTATCCCTTTAAATATTTTTGGACTCCAATAAAACTATATAGGTTCGTTAATATTGTTTAAACATTAACAGACACTTTTAATAAAATTAATGATATTACAGTTAAAGTTTCATATGCACAGTACTGTGAGTCTCACCTGGGTTTGCTCTGTAACTGGATACAGTCGCCACGGGGATCCTTCCCTTGTCCATTTCTTCGTACAGATATTCCATGTACACGTGGGGCAACGCGTTGTTTGCAGGCCTATGAGGGTTGGGATTTTTTAATCCCAGGGCGTGGGCAAGACTTTCTGAAGGGTGTAAAGTGTTGCCGGTTATTCCACGCCCTACAGATAAAAGCACCACAAACATAAAGCACAGCACGAGTTCGGACTTCATCACGACTGTGTACGAATTTCGAGGTGTGATGTCGAATATGTAGTCCAGACAGTGGCGAAGCGCAGGCACACTTTCATTTGACCCACTCACCGAGTTTGACATTTCCCAGCAAAGTGTTGGGAAAGTAAACTTTTGTCAGACAGCCAAAGTCCATGCACACTTCTGGAACACATCCCAGTCAAGTTAACGCATACTGTCCCGCGTGGGCTATCTCTTACTGACGGAAGTTGAAAGGCACACAATAAGCTGTAGGCCTTTATACAGCAATTTTTTCTTGGAAATTTCAGCAATGTTTCCTTTATCAGAAATCTATATCCTCTGTTAAACAGTTGAGAAATTTACTATCTATTTAAAAAAAGTTGAAAAATTTACTATCAGTAATTTTTAGCGTTACGCATTAAACCCACATGTCTCAGTTTCCATGACAAAGGAGATTCAAAAACTAGAATCTAGAATTCAAAAGCGCGCTTATGAATCGTAATTCTGTGCCCGGTATTGGATGTGGTTAAACTCGGTGAATCAGGGCAAAGTGTTGCAATTTCCAGGAAATTTTGATTTTTGTTATATGAAGGTCAAATGCCCACTGTATGACTTTAAAGGTCATTCTGAGAAAAGAAAAAAATTCAAAAGCTTGTATCTTACATTTTGATTTTGGTGTCAAACTTCTTCTTGGATATTTGTTTTTACGATTCCCAGCAGTGATCAGCAGTTGTTGAGGACCAAAATACCAAATATCACATAAAACGCAAACTACAATTTACCACTCCAGTAGGGTGAAAAGCATCTTTTAATAAAAAAAGTTCGAAAATTATCTATGGATCGACAGGTATTATGAGGTCTGTATATAAATTTACAAATTAATCAGTTCCCTTGACTCACATACTTAATGACTTCCTACAATTACCAACAAATTGACATACACCTCTTTCTTAGGACTATTGTTCATGGATTTTCTTTAAAAGATTTACAATAAACGAGTTTGAACTCAGGAAATGCAAAGTTAGCCATATAGATTCTCCAGCTCGGCGCTGAGGGTGACAAAGGAAAGCCTACAATAACATCACTTTGGTTGCCTGGCAACAGTTTTAATGAATAGAACGAGACGGATGCCACCAAAGATGTAGTTCTCAGAGAAAGGAAAGAAGAGGAAATTAACCGATCACTTTCCCCAGGGAAAAAAAAAGCTGTAAGTCGTATCATTTTCACTGCAGGAGGTTTAACGTGATTTCATGTAAATCGATTTATCTATCCAATCTATTAAGAAACGTATTAATGCATTATGCTCCGGCTGCATGTTAATCACTGAGGCTGTAACTAACACGAATGATATCATATTATACGGTACATCAAGAGCGTTGCCAACCTGTCCATTATGCATTAAATGCACTTAATTTGCGGTCGAACAGATTAGGCAGTGGCCCTTTTCTTACATGCACCGTTTTATATATTCGATCTGTCTTTCCTTTAACTACATGTAAATGAGATGAGGGGATGCATCCCCTACCCATACGTTTCCAATAACACAAAGGCGGATCCAACACACACACACACACACACACACACACACACACCAATGGAATACTTTGCTCTTTTAAGAACCAAGGATATGTTAAAACCTGGTAAGAATGCATTAATGCAGTGGAGTGACAAATGTGAATTTAAAACAAAGCAGCAAGGCTGCCAAATGTTCAGACACATGGGCAAGATCCTCATGTCAGTGTCTAGTCACAGCTACGGTCGCTGGTGCGTCTGACCTCATCTGGCCGCTACCAGGGCTCTCAAGCGTCAAGGCATTCCTCGGGGTAGGTTTTTAGAGTTTAATCTGGAATAAGATCCCAGGCACCGGTCAAAACTTGTCCAATTTGGTTCAGTTTTGTTGTAGGAAAAGTAGGTCGTTGATCCGGAGAGTAATGACGTACCCACAGGTTGTCTATGTGGTTCAAATCTGGCAATCTTGATGGCCAAGGTAGCTGCTCATTCCCTTGGCTCTGTAAGTTATCTGCGATTAAATGTGGTCTGTGTGAACCGGCATTTTCACCGTGCAAAATGAAATTGTTCATAAGGTGCCCCCTACCAAATGGCAGTCGAGTGGTGCCCAGATTATTCCTGTATCTGATGTGGTGTAGGTTTTCATAGATGACCACCATTGGTGTTTTGGCACCAATGGGTTATCTACTCCAAATACTGATGCTGTCAATGACCCTAGTCACTCTAGACGCGGCACACGCTTCGCCATTACATAGGCGTCTTCAGGATGTCTGTTAACTCTACTTTGACTACTTAAACAGTACAGGTGAAATCTGACTTCATTAAAGAAAACCACGCGGTTTCAGTGTTCTATTCATAAACGACCATGGTCGCCACGCGTTCTGGTGGCAATTTGTCCCTCATTCTGAACGGAATGGATGGTCTTTGTTTCGTTGCAGCAGTATATCCGTAAGGACGGTGAGTCCTGTATCCTGGTGGTAAGATTCATTGGGCGTTGCCTCTGTGAAGGTACCTCAGTCTGGGCATAACTCTATAAAACTGTGCGGACCATTCCGTGTGTCACAATAATCTGTAATCCAAAAAAAAAAAAAAAAAAAAAAAAAAAAAATGTCGATAACGGGTGTAACAATGAATTAACTGCATCATTTTTCTAAATTTTGTTTGAAGTCCACCTTTTTTCTTCGTAAAAATTGGGCAATTAAGTTTAAGAGATAGACGTAGAAATACAGAGATTTCAGGACAAAATGACGGCCGAGCACTAATGGCATTAACCCCGGCCTATAGAAAACACCATATTGCTGTCGAACTCAGATTGTTTTAACGTGGAGTAACAGATTCTTTTTACACTACACAATGGCGGATTTAGAGGGGGGGTCAGGGGGGTCCCAACCCCCACCTCGGTTTCTGAAAAATATATCACACCAATATTCCCCTTTTGAAATTAGAAATTTGACTAGCTAAATCATAGTTCTAAACGGTACCAAAGGGCACTGTTTGCTCTCCAAAAACACCAAAAAAAATTAGGGCCCTTGAACAAGCCCCGAACCCCACACCAAGGGGGCGATGGTCGGCTTCGCATTCAAAGCCTGACGTTCCGTTCCCCCCCCCCCCCTTCAAATAATCCTGGATCGGCATCTGACTACAGCTCCCCTTTTAATATTGATGGAGAAATGTATCATCTCCAGGTATTAAACTTATTAGACAAGCCACATTTTGTTGAATAAAACAGGATGGGATCAGGCCAGGCCAATTTTATTTAGACCTACATGTATTCTCAACGAGTTTTCTTGAGACAGAAACACGCAATCGCTTGGCTGTGATCACTAACAAGACACTAGGATAAGCTGACATTGCATTTAGGGATAAACGACGCACATTTGGATTTCTTGGAAAGACGGAACAACCCCAGATAAATACAAAAACAATGGGTATTTACCCCTGTGAGACATTTTTCATTATAGATGGACACGTGTATTTTATAAACGCTGCAAGAAGAATTACTATATATATGTGTAAGATTATTCTGCAGTCAAAGAGCTGCTAATACCAGAAATAGTATATCTCTTTCTGTTTAGCTTTCACACTGAAACATCAGGGAAATACCGAATTAGTCAAATGAATCAATTATTCTTCCATAAACTGTTCAGCGCTGCAACACTCATTGAGCGTAATCATTAATCAGCAAAGCTTCGTCTGCAGCGCCAGCCAGATCTAGGATATAATCATCTTCATCTAGACAAATAGCCTTTCTCCATTATACTTTCGAAAACAGAGGGATGGTCTTCGGACAGTAAGTTATTACTTCCAGAGATGAAATACTGGTTCCTTAATGAGACAAATAATGAAGATTCCTGCGCATTATTGTGAAGCTTCTCAACGACTTCTGCAGTTCGGTAGATGGTCTTTGATTTTCTCTTGGAACGCAGGTCACCACTTTGTGTTCGTGTGGTGAAACATGTATCATTTTTCAAGCCGCGCTCAGTTTGGCCTCGAACAACAAGTACTGACAAGTTAATTGACACAAATTATTTAGAGGTTGTGCTTTACCCGATGTCGACATATTGTCATCGATTCCGCGAAAAATGAAAAAAATCGTATTTCAACATAGAATTCAGATTGAATGTGACGTATTTATTCATCTGTTTTCATATTGACATTTGGGCCACTTGCTGGACACTTCAGATGGTGTGATGCAGAACAATGGTGGTAACATTGGCATCTTCAGTGTCTCTTGAACTAATTTTGACAACTTTGTCATTTGCTGAATAGGATGAAATGAAACGCCTTGTGTGACGCTTGTATCTAGGCAACAAAAAGATTATAAACCAGGAAAAAAGAAACGCCATTTGTATGGTCGGCCATTGTTGGCGGTGTGTGTGCTGAGGAATCGGATCTGTCATTTGGAAACTCTCAGTTTTATTTCGCAGTAAACATGATACAGATGTCTATAGATGGCTTCGAGAAGATAGGGAAATCTTAGATTATATAGTTGTGTATCATAAAGGCAAAGCGCACTTTAGAAACAAGGACTAACTCTCGTTTGATTTTATCTACAGGTAAGTCGTTTCACAAACGGATATCAAAATTCCAATATTCATTAAAATATGCCTGTGTGATTACATTTTAGCCCATACTTTTAAAAAGCAAATATCCCTATGAATGTCGTCTTAATCAGTGCTGTCGATAAAATATGGAGTGCGTTGTAAAAACTCTTATATTAGATTTGTGCATAGACCGTTGTAAAGATATTTCATGTGCTTTACAGTGATAATAGATTTCTTATTATTATATACAACATATTTTACATACAACATATTTCAAGTTGGTATTGCAAACAGATATATTAGCAGTCTAATCGATTTTCCACTACCTGAACCTATTAAATAATTGCGTCATGAGAAATTATTCAAGGTAAGTTTATCGATTCTGTGAGGCTTTGTTTTACAGTTGAATTCAATCCTATCTCTCAAATAATTAATTGGTAGGCCCTATAAGGCTCGTTTATTCTGTTATTGAGATTTCTTGGGGATGAATCATCGTGAATACTGGCGTTGCGCTCAAACAATATAGAAAATGAATACAGCATGCAATCTTATGTCCTAGATCCGTGTGTTACTGCAATTAGTCGATTAATTCGTGTGGGTGGATTTGCTTACAAATAGCGCATTTCGTTCCATGTAGCTGAATCAGCAATCACTGTGAGCACTGTGTAGTACACATGGACACTATAGCATTATTGTATGAATGATCTTTAAAATGTACAAAAAAAAAAAAAAAAAAGCAAAACAGTTGAAAAAAGATTTATATATTTCAATTCCCTACATTCCATTCATACTTATTATGATGCCAATCCATTAGTGGAGAGTATGCGTGATAGCGGGATAGATGGCGTATGTCCCATATGGTAATGTCTATAAATGATCAACCCCGCTAAATGCTAAAACCGAAATAAAGTTTAGTATCATTTGACCAATTTGTTTTACTCAAAAGACTATTAAACAAACAAATGAGAATTAATGACAACTGCCTGAAAATAACGCCTGCCTGGAAACAGAAACCGATTAAAAATGCCAATGTCTGTGTAAGAATCTTATGGTTTTACGACCCGCATTGTCATTAAATATACATGGCACCGATGTCAGGTTTCTAAATAGCCTGGTTTACCATAGCCTAGCTACGAACATGAGCGCCAGGATGTAATATACTAATATAGTTGACTAATTATCACTTAACCAAGGTGGGACGTACAACTTAGCAAAGATACCACTTGATAATGTGGAAAGAGTTGCTTGCAGAATGAGTTTTGGGGTTCAAATTGATAAGCAGTTCCCAAATTAGTCAATAAAATACGTTACACAATATAATCAGACTCACATACGTTCTGTACGTTGGCGTGTATTAACCAAAGCGAACTGAAAACCTCAGTGTGATAAGTATTGCAAAAATTCGAAAAGAAACGACCAACACCACGTATAAAATAAAATCGACAAGAAAGAAGAAATAAAACAGAACCACAAAACACGGTAATATACATTTTCCATGTCTTTTTGTATAATAATGAAAAAAGGTAAATCGTTTCTGAAGACACTAAACCACGAAACACATTTCCAGGAAGCAAAAAATAAAAATTAGCAGAAAGGCAACAACTCTCAGACTTGACAAATACTGGTTTTGCTTGAGTCAGCACAAAAAAAATCAGTGCCCAGTGCTACAACTAGGAGCAGACAGGCAAAATGTGATAATTAACTAATCAATAGATTTACGCAACACCGCATGGCAGTCAAATTGACGGTGGCTGTCTCAGTAAACACAGCTTCAAAACAAGATCTAGACCAACTCCTAATCTCGATGGCATGCACACATTTCGCTGTAATGGATGTCATTTAGACTGTCGAGACTATTATACGGTTGACGCGCCACCGATTAGTGACGATATATTGTGATGACATGAACATGTTGTTTTCAATAGACGAATAAGCTTCACGCCATGTATAACGCAATATATAATACTGTCTGAAATATGGCTCCATTGTGAAGGTGGCTGCCGTTTCCGACAGGCCTTATTCTCAACAATAATTAATTTTTAATGAACCCTTGTCCACAATATATGCATCAAATATCAAATGAGAATTTAGGGAATTTATGCACGTTTAAATACATATCGCTAAAACATCTTGTTGAATGTTGACTCATATCTTACACAAAATGGCAGAATTTAGACAGCGATGGACCAATTCCTGTCACAGTTAGGGACTTGCGACCTGACACCGCGCCAGTAACATCAATCAGCAGCTAGACTAGAATTGGAAGAGCGTGGTGTATTGTTTGCTGAACGAAAATCGCAGTGATCTCTATAGAACAAATGAGATCTAAACCCGACTCTGACATGAGCATGTCATAGGAACTAAAGCTGTGCTGCTAGAAGGCGATTTTCAGTTAAAAGTGAGTATTTATACCGTAGGACTGGGAGATATATTACGTCTAGACCTAAAAAAATCATTTTGTAAGAACAATGATCAAAGAGTAGATAATATAAAACCCACCGCGGCTATTTGACTTCCGTTTGTACCGAAGTGTGCGCAGTAGACGTTACTGGAGGTTTATTGCCCTGTGGTAACTACACGGAAAGTGTTCTTTATAGCTGTCAGTGCCACACTAGATCACAGTAGGCCTATAATCACACAAAATGGTTTAATGGAATCATTGAGCTAAATGAGTCTGGCAGGACGTACACTGTGGTGTCAGGTCGCACGGATGCCAAATGGAAACCTATATATTTTTACTATATTTGTGATCGCTGTTATGTCAAACATTGCCTATCTATAACGCTGTGTATTTCTACAAACGTAACTTAGATGTAAAAACATTTTGACCACCCTAGGTCATGTATACCTTATTAATTAAAGGAACAATAACTGTTCGTTTTGGCCAAAAAATGAATTTTCTTGGAGTAAACAACAATTTTCCCATAGTTACCAATAGCTAAGGAATCCATTTCTACACTCAAAGTTAGTCCCTGTTTTTTTTTTTTTTTTTTTTTTTTTAGTAATTTCTTAAGAGATTATTACAGAATATAGCCATCTATGTAGGTAACGTGGTCTGATGACAAGCTCAGGTATCAGAATAATAGCTATAACTGCCGTTTTTGTGGTAAAACAGAATATATTATATTCCTATGTAGTTGTTTACAATGTTTCTATTGTGAAATATCGGCTTTTTTCGGCTTGTAAACTAAATGAAACTAACTGAAAATGTTTTATGGCGCATTTGTGTAGGAATAACGACCTCAGGTACATTGTGCTTAAATCCTCTACGTGAACCTGTACGACTGTAATGACTCTGATAATGGCTGTCCTTAATTAAGAATCGTACTATCTTGTATTATTAAAAGAAAATAAAAACACGCATATCAGATGTTACCTTAATCATATCAGGTGTTATTATTAAAATAATAGGCTTCATTTTGCAAAACCATCATTACTATCTGTGAGTCATAAGCTCGACTGGTCGAAAATGCGATCAAGCAATATATTTGGTCCTTAATGTCTAAGAACGAATTTAGAACAATGGTGAAATGAGTCGGTATAGACCAGTTTTTAAAACAACTGTCATTTCCCACTTTAGTTTAGCTGTTTCGATATGTTGATATCATTACACCAAATCTTTCTCGATCCTTCCTTCACACGTGGCACGTTTTCCAACACCACGTGAAGGATAACCTCAAACCGTGCACAATGCAATCAAGGTACCGGACGTTTTAGCTTCCATGGTAGGACATGGTGACGTCAAAGAACTAGATTATAACAAGATAATGATCTACAACAGGTGTACAGGTGTATATGTAAATCGCCAATGTTTCGTCCAAAATCATAAATATTGTGCGTCGTTTAAACATCTGTGGACCCATGTGTGACTGAATTTCGGGTTGGGGTCTTAAAGGTTTTTTTGACAGTTCACCAGTCATCTGTCTCGGCTCAATCCATGCACTATACCGGTAGTTTCTCTGGAAGGAAACGAGTTCGATGGAATAGGCTTAAACCTGTGCATTTAAGTACGCAACGCTTAATTTAATCTTGCCACACCGGGTTATTGCTCGGAGAGATATGGGTTAAAAATCCCTTCAGAATATATTCTTTCTGCCTAGTGATCTTGCGATACTCAATGCATCCGTAAATCAATATTTACATTGTCATTCATGTGTGTTAATTATAATAAAGATTGTCTTGCATGCCTTCAAGGGAGAAAACAGAAAGGATACTAGAGAGAAAAAGAGTTCAGCGTGTTTTGACAATAGAGCGAAATATTTCAGCATTCGCTTCATACTATATAATATTTGATAATTAAAAAATATATATGCATTCTATATTTTCAGATAGAAAAGAGAGAGATGGAGTATGGGAACCTTACATTCCAAATTCCGTTTAAGACCACCGATAACCCGCTCTACAATTCCACTCTCAAACCAAAAGACTTGAAGGACGACGCCGGTGCTCTGTACTATGTAGTTGCTGTCGTACTTATCTTTGGCTTCTCCATTATTCTCCTGATATTTTCTCACGTCAAGAATAACAGAACCGACAGATACTTGATGCTTCATATAAAAGAAATGGAGAAACTTCGCCAGCAGAGCAAAGCCTTCAACACGTGGCCTTCGAACTCGTACAAAAGATCTGAGGCGCGGCTGTCAAAGAACCGGATGCCTTACAACGACTCCGATGCAGATTTTAGGGTCTACCCGTTAGACATCGTTGAGGAGTACAGCATTGATAACTCAGATGAGGCAAATAAACTAACGCCACTATCGTCCAACTCGTCACATCTGGATACTGTATTCGAGTTTCCAAAGTATATGTCGCTTCGTGAAACCAAACATTTAACTGAGACAGAGGGTTACACCAAGCCAAGTGAAAGCGTCGATGAGCCAACAGCATCACACGTAAACACTGATTGCTATAACACTGTGTGTAAAAACGCAGGCTACAAATTAGACAAGTCTAAAGAGACATGTGCACCAAGTGATAAAAACATGGAGCATTTTGAACAAACACATTATGAGAAACGTGACATTTACCCAGCACCTCATATTGTATCACGTTCCCAGCATATCCCTGCGCACGCCATGTCAGTTCCAGTTTCTAAACAGCGAGAAGCCGAGCGACGTCTGGCTTTGAATGTGTCCCGGCTCAGTATGTACAGTCGGCCAGTGTGTCACTCCGTCACTGACGACGATGGGACAGACATAGAAATATAACAAGTAAAAACACTGTAAACGATGGTTCAAGTGAAATTACAGCTTGGCAACTTTGCTGCAAGAATGTCTTAGTGCTGTGGTTAATTCTCTTCTAGATCTAAAATTTACAATGACGAGGAACCACTTTTAACAAGATATTTATTTATAATCACAAAGTGTGAACAAGACGGATTACAAAAGAGAGGAAATGAAAGAAAATGAATGCCTTTTTTGACATGATGGGATGGCCCTACCATCTTCCAGGACCTGTGAGGTTGGATATATTGATAAACTCGGAGGATAAGAGATATTTCTGAAATTGTGTTAAGATAAATGTACATGGGTTACTATGTTCCTTTTTTCTTTGGTAAACAGTGGATTAAGCCAAATGCTTAAGGTGATATTTTTTGTGTGCTATTTCGTAAAATTTACAGGAAGCGTCAGAGTATTGATCTCTCATAAAAAGAATTACCAAGGAAGAATTTACATTCATGACATTTGCATGACTTTCACTTGATATTGCGTTGATGTGTACTTGACATGTATATTTGTTCGAACTGTACTGGTCACAATGAGATACATTTCTGTATTGTATTCCCGGTCTGTGATTCTTCGTGCCTTACTCTGACCCTCAGCTCCCTGTCTTAATACCCGTCTTTCTCTCCCAACACTATCTGGACCAAGTGTATATGGTCTTAATGACAGTTTTTTTTCATTGTGATATAACTCTCGAAGGCGTATCGTGTATTTTCCTGTTATACTTCTTATCTAAGTCAAAACAGACATGCCCACGAACTGTTCGAAAGAGATCCCTAAACGATTTTAAGTATGACTCAATGCATCATCTTGGATTCCAAGACTGGATTTTAGGATTATTTGATATTCGATTAATCTGGTTTAGAGACTGTAAAGAGACAAAAGATTCCTTGATGATTTTCAGAAGAATTCAGACTTTGTTGTTGAATGCATGTAATAGACAGGTGAAAACCACATGTCGTATCTGTGACAAGGCAGTGTGTTCTGGCATTTACCAGCAGGAAGTTAAGATTAGCGGTTTTGAACAGGTTAAGAAGATGCCTTAGTTTTTCAAGCGTGTTCTTAAGCAGCATGTATTTATATACAATTTTATTGATATCGTATGAACATTTATATATTTGCTATTCATGTTCAAGTTTGCGGGATTTTTGCGAAAAAATGTTATAAATGAATTGTTCTTATAACGACCAAGACAATTTTGTAGTACTTATTCACAAACATCCTTCCGAAGTATTCATATATCCCATTCGTTTTTAAGATTTTCAAGTCAGGTGAACAACTCCATGCATTCCTTGCGTTTTTACTTTATGTAAAATGCGCTTTCTGGCCAGGAAAATTGATTACATTTTCCCTTAAAGGGTGTAGCCTAAAACTCCTTTGAAATATAAAAAATAGGTTATGTGCAAAGGAAATTGGAAGAGTAATTACAATATTATTCTCAAGAACGGTCCCATCGAAAATGTTTTCCTTAATCAAAACGTACATTTGATAACGGTAACATTTAGACATTTTTGGCAATAAGACCAAGAAACAAACGAGCAGGATTAATTTTAATGCAATAGGCATATTGGCAAACTGCCACATGTCATGAAATATTCCTTGTCATTTGACAGCAATAAAGGATTTTAAAAAATTTGTGTGTCGAAATGTTGTTCAGATGGGATAAGCCCACTTTTAGCTCGAGACTGCAGCAAGAAATGTTACAAGCCATACGTAGCGTGTGGGGACGCTTGTCCAACGCGGGTGGTATTCATTAAACCCAGGTCTTTGACACGTCTTATCATTGATCCATTGCTGTTTATTGTTTGAAAGATTGGCGTGCCACGTGGATAAGTTGTCATCAAGAATCTTTTTATATCTAGGCCATCTGGTGAAGTGGATAAAATTGGCCATAAAATCAATAGCATCCCACTGACAGTTCAGACAATTAATGTTTACAATGAGTGTATGATTCAGATTGAGCTACAGACATAAGATTTAAATCGTAGCCTACGGTCTTCAATCTTTCAAACTGCAATCCGAGGTCTTTTCGCGAGGTTGCAAAGACAATTGTTTTAAGCTCAATAAAGCATGCTTTGTAGTTGATTAGCTTCAATTTACTAAAAAAATTCTACGTTTAAAACATTTTAAAACACAGAAATTGTGAAAAAGAAAAATAAAACGCGCAAAGAGGGTGATTACAGAAGTGGACCAAACAAATTGCTGTTTAAAATATGGTCTAGGCGTGCATTTTGGCAGTTTTTTAAAGCAAATAAGAAAATGTAAATGAGTGCCGAGTGAACAGTATGAAACACGGGATTTACTTTAAAGCAAATTGCTGTGCAAAGAATTCACCTTTTCAGAGAGCTCAACAATACTACAATGCCAATACACATTGTGTTAGCTGTGACAACACTTGACGATATATCTCATCCGCTGCAATACTGCAACATGAATTGCCCATGTCATGGAGACATTCTTCTTGTTGGGGAAGGGGATTTCTCTTTCTCTGTTGCCTACCAGAGACATTTTGTCCAATGTGATATAGTATCAACAAGTTATGAAAGTGAGGAGACAATAACCAAACACAAACAGGCAGAGAAAAACGTGAATCACTTGAGAAACACAGGTAAACATACGAACACGACCATTAGCCGACGCGTTGCACGTGTTTGCAGTGCACGTGTGAACAACACGCATATATTGACAACGTGTGATTTATATTCACGTGGCTCGAATGACTTGTATTAAGCACGCATGTGGCGGATACAACGTGGGGTGTGTGTTGTGCAGTGTGTGCCATGTGAATAACGTGCTGTTAACAATGGTTTGGATCATGCAATACAAATAGGGGTACATGTACAAATGTACCTGCATATACTCCATATACCGTATTGCATTGTAGTACTACAATGCCAGGGAGGTATAGTAGTACTATTAACACTGTTCAGACCATTATAGAAAAAAATCATTTAAATAAGGGTCCAGTGCACATTCCACACTGCATGACTACTGGTATGCTGTCTTATATCTCACTATTAAGACAGTAGTTCAATTTCTTTACAATGTCACTTTTAATCTACTGCTGTAATTGATGTGTAAGGAGTAATTGTTCTAGTATATTGAAAACATATTATCTAGTTCATAATGAATGGAGATGGCCTGCCTGCCTCTACTTCCCTTCTTTTCTGGAATAAGCACACCCTAATTAGGAATGCAATGAATATAATCAAAAGTCCTAAGTGGATAGGAAGTGTGTGGAAGAACGTGGTAAAGACATACATTCCATGTGTAGAAACGAGGGCATTACACTGGGTACATTTACGTATTTAGGAGGCATTCCATTATTAATATAGAGGGGATAATTAAGAAATATCACTTCACATCACCTCGCCTCACCAATTAAGTGTATCAGTCTTTGCCAGGTTGCAGGTTTTAACAAGTAGTATGAGTTTTTATATTTTAGTTCTGGTGAGTACTTTGATATACCAGGCCCTTAGCCAAGAGGGTTTCGGGGGGGGGGGGGGGGGGGGTTCTTAAGTACTGCCCCTTTTGCTGGGAAAAGGTCCGCTTTGGGTAAAATTTGATCTTGACACCTAAGTTTTTATGGTAAAAGGTCCACTTTTTCAGAAAAACTCCCCTTTGGAATATCTGGCTACAGGCCTGTATATTATCTCACCAAATTTGATATATTTTTTATTGTTAATTGAGGTCTATAACTGCCGTATATGGTGAGTTTAAAGAAAAGAATGTGATAAAATTAAGTGTATAAATATATTTTGAAGACTTTTGTTCAAAATCCACAAGGTAAAGAATGGTGATAATGTACAAGATCTTTTTTAATGGCCTAATTTTACTAAATAACAAGATACAATTCCTTTACAGTCTTCAAATGCTGAACTTCTGATGGTTTTGCTTTCAGGTGTGTTGGTTCTGTACAATGTTGATGGAAGATGTCTGCAGGCTAACCCAGTCATTGGGAGCAGAAGGTTCAGCAGAATCATCTTCAACTTTCCCCATATCGGAGGGAAGTCCAACATCAAGAAAAACAGACTTTTACTCAAAGAATTCTTCTGCAGGTTTGTAAGGGTTTTAGCCTAGGCCAAGTTATCATTTTTCCTAAACAAGGCAATGTAAAATTTAAAGGTTGCATTGTGCATGTTCTCGCTAACTTGAATCCTTTCACTGAATAAATACAGTACTACTCAGTATATAAGTCTTTTTGTTGATATCTTTTTATAAGCGATGATAAAATGTTTTGTGAAACAGGCCCTTATAATTTAAATGTTGTCTGATTTAGTTCAAGAGAGAAATAAAAGTAAGTTCAAAAGATTATCTTATCTTCCAGCGCTGTGACTGTACTGGCAGAAGATGGAGAGATAATTGTGTCTCTGTGCAAAGGTCAGGGGGGCACGCCTCTAGATCAACCAATGAGAGAGTGGCATGATACATGGCAAGTTGTTGCTATGGCAACCTATGCAGGATTAATTCTTCGTAAAGCAGAAATGTTCCATGCTGAAGACTATCCTGAATACAGTAGCACAGGTTTTAGGTGAATTGTCTAAATGCATTTATTAGAATTTTAACTTGTCAGAAGACGGGGGGGATACTGCCCTCTGACAAGTATGAAGTATGAATTCATTCAGTTCAAAATTTGGAGGAGCAGGAGAAAAACTATATCTTGAACTTCAAAGAGGCATTTAATTATTTATGAAGTAAGAAAAGAACCAGTGTTTGATTTCAATGTATGATTTTTTCCACTAGCAGTTGCTTTAGTGTGCTGAATTATGTTCTGCATAATTGTATTATATGCCATAGTTTACTTCTGTGTTCTAGGAGTCAGGATAAGAGTTTCCACCATGAGGGTGCTGTTGTCCATGTTTTCTCTCGTCCAGCAATAGACATGACAAGATTACAGCAGAGTAAGACCTGTGTGCCTTTCTGTGCAAATGGAGAATGTGGAGACTACATAAAGCTGAAAGTGGCCAGGTAAGATGAATAAAAACCTTACATGCAGTTATTAAAGTGCATCTGGGAATCGATTATGTTCATTGTAGTTTTTATGCATAAACTGTTTATAACGAATAAAATATTAGTCTTGTAAAATTTAAAAAAAATATCCTCAGTAAAAATTTTTGTATCATTGATCAGTATTAAACATACTAGTAATTTTGATTTTTGACCAGGAAAGTATTGAAGGAAGAAGGCCACCCAATATATGATGCCTACATACGTCTGCTTCATCAGTTGCAAAGACAGCACCAGGAAGTGTCCATCTTTCCATTAGAATCAGCTGACAACATGTTAGTAAAATATGACACAAACAGCATTAAAAGTTGCCATTATACAGCATATGATTGTACACTACCGGGTTACAGTATGGGAAGCGATGATTTGACAACACAACAGGTTGACACAGGTGAGAAGTCACCAGGTGGTGTTCCTGTAAGTTGTAGTCTTTCCAAAGAAAAGAATGAATTACAAGGGCAGACTTCAGTGATAAGGAGCAATCTCCTGGAGCACCTTTTTAATATAGTTTCATCGGAGAAACCAGGGGTTGTCAATGTTATATCTGGCACTGTGTGTCACAGAACACCTATTGCTGAATGTAGACTCCCTGTGGGACATCAAACACTCATAGCTTGTGACAGGACTGGAGTATTAGATGTGAAATGCATTATTCAAAATTTATGTGGGGATAGCATTTCTAATATCATTGTTGAAAAATATGATTCTAACTGCACTATCTGCACATGTATGCTGGCACATTTTGATACAACAGAAAGCGTGACTGTGATTTTATTGACAGCAGGGGGCACCACTAGTGTTGTAAGCTGTATTGGGACAGTGACAGTGGAGGACAGGACATTGGAGGTGGCAGTCATTGAATTGGATATTTTAGCTGTGTTTTTGTTTTCTCTCCCAGACAGAAGACTGCTGTGGTCATTGGACAAAGGGATTTATAGTCTGGTACATGATGGAAAGGAGTTAAGTTTATATCCTCCCGTATATTGTCATGACATGAGTTTCTGGGAAAAAATTGATTGTGATTTTGAGCAGATTGAGTTGGACATGCATGACATCATACGAGGTATTGCAGGTGACTTAATAAAAAGTGTTTATCTAAAAGATGAATATCAGTGTGTTGAAACAGGCCATAGAAGTCGTTGCTACAGGATGGTTTTTCAGTCGTGTGATCAGCCATTATCGTACCACCAATCACACAACCTGCAGAAAAACATTCGACTTCGTGTTTCTGAGTTGCTAGGAGTGACATTGCGGTAAAGTTGCAGATGACACAAAAGAACCCTTAAGTTATTGTGATTGGATATTTAATTTTGCAAATAAACAGTATTATGTAGGTTCAAAATCTACCACAATGTTTTTTAAAGTATCAGCATCGTACTGTAATTAATATTTTAAAGTATCAGCATCATACTGTAATTAACTAAACAGCAGTTTTTGTTCTTGTTTATCAGAGCTCCTGATACATGTAGTGAATCACAGTCAGCAGACAACAGAAGGATCAGAAGCAAGATCTACTAAAATATTTTGAGCTACATCCTCACTCTGTTTTAGTTTCTGTCATATTTACTTTTGGTTAAGGGCAAATTTATACTTTGTCTACCATAAAGCATTTTCTGTTCATGTTTCAGACGTTTTTTTTTTTTTTTAAGAAAAAGTCTGGCTGTATTTACAGCTTATACAATGCCAGCAATTTTCAGAAGTTTTGTGCAATCCTCCTGAACATGATTTTGCTCCTCGACCCTCAGCATGTTTCTGTTTTTCCTTCTCAGCATGTCTCTGATTTTCCTCTTCAGCATGTTTTTGTAACTGAACATAAATGTACAAATGCATGTTAGTTTTTGGACATATCACTATAACATTGGAAGTCATAGGATTGTTGTCATCTTTACATATTGTTATAGGGTTTATGTGAGTGGGAGGGGGATAAAATGGGCATAACACTGGGCGTATACTACATGAACAATAGCCATTTTAGGGCCATGCTTCTCAATAAAAGTTTCAATTTCATCCTGAAAATATTTTTGAGTTATAATGTGCTGTCCACCAATGCTCAATTCACCACTTGAACCATGACCATTGAAATAGATGCCAATTTTCTTTCTGTCCTTATTGTACCACCAGCGTTAGCGCTGGCGGTACACATGGTTTCGGTCCAGTCCGGATCGTTCCGCCGGCTCCGCCGGCTCCGTTGGCTCCGCCGGCTCCGCCGGACGGCTACCGTTACCGCTTCTCCTCCTAGGCGGTAAGGCCCCCCGTACCCATCTCTTGGATTTAGGTCACCTATAATCTCAACTCGTTCCACGTAAAATTTGGGCTATGTCGGTATTGGGGTCTGGGTGTGGCACTCATTGAAATGCACCCTTGTCCAAAAATGGCAAAATTAAATGCTAATTATCTACCCTACGGAAGGGGTTATGGGAAAAATTTCTACAGACGGCTTTCCAAAAGTCATATGTGTAGATTTCAAATATGCCCTTGGATTTGACCTTTGACCTTTACTTCAAGGTCAAACGGGCCAAAATTTTCAAAAAAATTAAATTTTTTACGAAAAAAA